AAGCCACAACTGAAGAGTTTTCTTAAAATTACTTATTTACTACTATTTCAGAAAAAAATTACTTGTAATCATATGAATTCTCTCATATTCCTTTTTAGAACAGGGTTAGTCAAACTTGATGTCACTGACATTTCTGGTTAGATAAGTTTTTGTTGTGGGGACCCATCCAGCGCTGTGCAGGATGCATGTCCCTGACCAGTAGATTCCCATAGCAAACTCTTCACTTTTTTAGTCATGAAAATCGAGAATGTCCCTAGAGTTGACAAAAGTCTTCTAGGAGCAAAGTCACCCCCAGTTGGGAAACGCTGGTCTAGAAAAAGAAGCAGGACTTTCAAGCACACAGCAATATTTGCACTTCCCATGGCTTCCCTAGTTAATCAATATTGCACAACTGATGTCAATCAATACTGGGCTACAGATGTATACGGCTAAAAATTCATCATTACTACAGCCTGCACATGAGGCCATATAGTCAATCAGAATTTTCTGATGACCTTTCTTTATCTCAAATTTGGTAAGTGTAACTTTAGGAGCTTTTACCCATCAATTCTTCATTTGTGCTGCTACGTTTGTTTGTTTGTTTGTTTTTTAATAGGGCAGCTATTTTCTCAAACAAAGATCAGTAAATAACGTTCCTGATTTCATAGTGGGAAAGATAGTTGGATCTATTCCTTCCAGGAACCAAGGCACAGCAAATAAAACAACAAACAGAACAAAACATTAGTATGATGGCATGCAAGCCAGCTAATACCATCTCTATGCATATTTGTTAATAAATATTCGCTGGTCCTTGTTAAACCTACTATTTTATAACGACCTAAATGGACATTTGAACCAAATATAATTAATAAACCAAATTATAATTAAATCAATCTCATAATATTATCATACTATATTAATTATATTATTATATTTAATAAACCAAATATAAATGGACAGTTGAATCAAAAAATATGTAGCTAACATATCCTTAGGAATTATTCTGCTGCCACATATGAATGTCCTCACTGTATTTTAGGCTATTAAAATATCATGCATTTACTGTCAGAGATTTAAGATTAGATTCTTATTTCTCAATTATGTTTCTGTGTTAGTGCATAAGACTTTTTTTGTGAAAAATCGTAACAATATCTAAAGACAAAGAGCTTGAACCCATATTTACAATATTTTCTAATTTCAAAAAAATTGATTTGATAAAACCATTTATGACTGCTGTTATATCAACAACAGAAAGAGTGCAGCCACTATATAGGAAACATTTTTCTCATCATTTCTCATTCTGAATGAGCTTTTGTCTGAAATAGTTCTGGCTTTAAGAGATAACATTTCCAAACACTTAGAAATGATTAAGAGCAGTTAGGGGCTAATTCACTTCTTCCCCATCCTCCTATTCAGAAGTTATATGCCCCCTAATATCCTCCTTCATTAGAAATCCACCTAGTTTAATCCAAAAGAATGCCTTAAGACAATTATTTCATTAAATTTTTTTTTTCATTTTTGGCAGCCATGCCCAATAATCTTTTTACTTATAGGGTCTGTTAACCAAGATTACATAGTGAAAAGTACACAGTAATCACATTTAATATGGTTTAAGCTGAAAAATAGCAGTATGATGTTAAACTATTCTAATTTTTAAAATTGGCAGCATATAATGTATCTTATTAAGCACACTTTAATCAAAAATACATTTATTTTTATCAACTGACTTAGCACACTTTTATTACAAAACTTCTATACTTATCTGATGCAATAAATTATTATTATAATTAAAATATTGATAATTACTGAAAGAAAAGCCTGCATTATGAATGGAATTCTTATGCCCTAATAACAGATTTTTGGAAAAATAGAATGCTGGGAGAGCATGTAAATTCAGCTTTTAAGAGAATGTAAACTTTAAAAACACAACCTTTTTTTTTTTTTTTTTGGAAAGAGCCTTAAGCTGTCACCCTGGGTAGAGTGCTGTGGCATCACGGCTCACAGCAACCTCCAACTCCTGGGATTAAGTGATTCTCCTGCCTCGGCCTCCCAGGTAGGTGGGATTACAGGCGCCCACCACAACACTGGGCTATTTTGGGGTTGCAGTCCCCATTGTTGTTTGGTGGGCTGGGGCTGGAATCAAACCCACCCGCTCAGGTCTATGTGGCTGGCACCTTAGCTGCTTGAGCCACAGGCACGGAGCCAAAAACACAATTGTTTTAATGCTATCTTGGGGCTGGGAGAAATGATTATACAAGTTCCTCTGAAATCTTCTGAAATCACAATAATTCTTGATTTTGTTCTCGGTTTTGGGTTACTGGATGTAAATATTTGCTACCCTCCCCTGCCTTAACAATGCTCACCATCAAATGCAGACATTTCTAGGATTTGTGAATTGCTTAATTATCTGTGTTGTGACCATACATGTGTTTAGAGAGTCTATGACTTAGAAGATCAGTAAATTAGAATATTTTCTACATATGACTCAGAGGTAAATAAAAGTCATGGCCAAAACAGAGGAGAATAAAAATAGACCTTAAAGAGATCTAAAAGATTTAACACAAAAGCATAAAGACAAAATGACATTAATTGGCACGTGGAGAAAACCACAATGAGACCAGTTGGCAGGGGGTGTGCAGTATCAACAAAAGAAGCAGGATAAAGAAATAATAATCCAAAGTTTTATTTGTTTTTTCTTTCTTTTTTGATGTATTATAGGGGCTAAAAAGGTAATGAATAAATACTGGGGAAAAAAATCCCTATAAATAGTAATCAGGGGGAAAAAATCTCACTAATTTGTTCAAGGGAGTAAGGACCAGTCACATCACAGAATATTCATCACTGAGTTTCTGCACTTAAGCAGAATGCTTGGCTCCTGGAGTTCTGTAATCTCCATTTTAAAACGTGAAGGAGGAGGATGGGTGAAGGGAGGATAATTAGTGGGACCACACCTACGGTGCATTTTACAAGGGTACATGTTAAATCTACTAAGTGTAAAATATTAATGTCTTAACACAATAACTAGGAAAATGCGGTAAAGGCTAGGTTAACCAGTTTGATGAAAGTATTTCAAATTTTATATAAAACCAGCACATTGTGCCCCATAATGTACACAGCTATGATTTAATAAAAAAATACATTTAATTTTCTTCCATTAAGCTAATTTTATAGAAAATCAATTCCCGTCGACTTTAGTCAGGACATCTTTCGGATACCCTTTCCTCACTCTGGGTCCAGCTTTCTGCCTCCTATCCTATCTTTCTACTAAGGGCTTCCTTTCTACTGATGAAAATACCTTTGGTGATTACCTAACGTCTCCTTCAGCATCCCCAAGGATCCTTCAATGAGGAAATGATAGATATTGCTCTAGATTATTTACTAAAACTTTTCATGAGGTTTAGTATTTCACTAAAGGAAATCTATATCCTTAGAAAGGGAACAATCTAAGCCAGGTAGGTGGCTCATGGCTATAATCGTAGCACTCTGGGAGGCTGAGGTGGGAGGACTGCTTGAGCAATCCAAGCACTCTTGAGTCCAAGATCAGTCTGAGCAACAGCAAGACTAGAAATAGAATAGTAGCCAGGTGTTGTGGTGGGAGCCTGTAGTCCCAGCTATTCAGGAGGTTGAGGTAGGAAGATCACCTGAACAGAGGTTTCAGGGAACTAGGCTGACACCATGGCAGTAAGCCTGGGGCAACCACAAAGTTAGACTCTGTGTCCAGAAAAAAAACTAACAAAAAATAAAACAAGAGAATAATGTACCTTATATATTCTTGACATCCCCCACACAAGAACTAAAAAGATCTGCATAGAGAGTAACTGTTCTTCAAATACGTGTGAATTAACTGAGTAGTTGAAAAACAAAAATGTCATTATACTCTACTAATTAATAACCAAATTATATAGTAGATATATACATATTTAATCACTTAATGAGTTTAGTGATCTTTTTTTCTAAATATATATAAACAACAAAAAGTTCATGGTCATCTTTTCCACTGGGACATGCTGTTAAAAAAAATAAAAGATTAAAGGTCTATTCCAAATCTACACGTAGAAATATGTTGTTTTTTTTGGTTTTTGTTTGTTTTTTGCAGTTTTTGGCTGGGGCTGGGTTTGAACCCGCCACCTCCAGCATATGGGGCCAGCACTCTACTCCTTTTAGCCACAGGTGCCACCCTAGAAATAAGTTTTTAAAGTAGCCAGTAATGTTCCTTATTGTTTTATTTTGTGGAAAATGTCTTCAGAGGCCCTATATGTTTTGTCTATATTATATGAACTCATCTAATAGAAAATATGCTGAAACTTTAATTATGTGCCATTATGAGTAAATAATTATGCACTATTTTTCCTTGGTGTTGGGCAGCTAGATTTTGAACATTTCCAATAGTTAATTCACTATTATTAACTCAGTAAGTAATTGTAGCTGTTTCCTACCTTTAAGAACACTGGATTTAGCCAAAAAACAAAGATTTTATTCTTCTGTAAGACCAATATAAATATATTCAGCCATTTTTTAAAAAAAAAAAGGTTGATACTGACAGAATCCTAAATCTAAAAGGAAAACACATCAACCCCACCAGAAGGCTCATTTTACAAAGCCTTCTCTTCCCCTGGTCCATAAAACAACAGATTAGAAAGAAGTCAGGAAGAATAAATTAAAAGGGGGGGTTTAAAGTTAAAGTTAATGATAATTTCAACTAGGCTACCTACTCTTTTTTAATTCTTGGCATTTGTATGGCTAATCTACATAGAAAATATTGGAAAAGTATTCATTCTAAGCAACTAACATCAGGGAAATATTCCTCCACTTATTAAGAAGAGTAAATGGGAAGAAAATGATTCAGTTGCTCATTGGGAAATTTTTCTATCAATAGATCTGATTCCAGTGATATTGTAGCCCCAACTTTTCACCTGAAATACTTAGCGAATGCTGGAGATGAAGAATAGAAAGTTATGTGCATCTGTGAACAGTCTAAACAGTTCCGAAATGCATAAAGTCATTAGTTATTCATTACTTACAAAAGTTGTGTTTTCCAATAATAATGTGGTGGCATTTGTTTCTATATTCAGTTTAACGACATGTCCATTCTCGCTTTTATACACCACATCTGTATCTGCAACAACAAAGACATTAACCATTGACAAACACATTGACTAGGTAACATAATTACTGTAGCAGAGAAAATGTGCATAATAAGCAGACACATCAGAACAGTCACTGTTAGCCTTCAATAACCTGAGCAGATTTCTGTCTGCCTCACATTAATTCTCCTGAAAGATCAGGAAGCCCTCCTAACACATGGTCTGTTGTGCAACGAACACTGGGTCAGTGAGAGGGCCACTCAGATTCATGGTTTAACAAATGGAAATTAATTAAAATGTGGGCAATCTGCTGCACATTCTGAGGTGGGAAAGGAAAAACAAAGAAAGATGTCTTCAGTCTGCAAAGTAAGCTACTACCCATGAGTGATCTAGTTTTTTCACTTGCAAGAAGGGCTGCCAGTTGGCCTTAACTAGGCAGAGTTCTAAGAATCCTGGTGCTGAGCCATCTACATGAGGGTTATTCATCTATCAAGTCCTTTGGCCACCACTTCATTCCTCTTCAGCTTCTTGAACTTTTTTTTGGGGGGGAGGGAGTTGAGAATTTTGTCTCCATCATTTTATTTGGCCTGAGTGATCACAGATCAAAATCTTTGAGGTTGTGACTATATCATCGAATCCACTTTGTCAACTTTAGAATGATGTCTTCCTTCATTGTAAATAGTTGCTTTCTTCTGGATGGTTGATTTTACATATTTCTTTAGTTAAATTTAGCCACATTTGTTGGAATATTATATCATCTTAAGAATACCTCTGGCCAAAGATATTAACTGGTGGGGAACTGACAGAGAATATATGAGGATACCAAGGAGATAAAAAGGTGTGTGTGTATGTGTGTTTGGGTAAAAGGGAAGTAGTTTTCAATACTTTCGTTTTCTTTTTGTCAGTGAAAATCTCCTTTCCAGTTTTCCCAAATTCTAGGCTTTTCCATGGCATTGCATACACATCCCTAATCCCCTGCCTATTCCTTTGAGAAAGGCAATATATAAAAGGGCATTAGATCCACTATTTACATTGAATGAATTTATATAATTTGAAATCTATGGCTCAGTGCCTGTGGCTCAAGTGGGTAAGGCGCCAGCCACATATACCTAAGGTGCCGGGTTCGAATCTAGCCTGGGCCCGCCAAACAACAATAATGGCTGCAACCAAAAAATAGCCAGGCGTTGTGGTGAGCGCCTGTGGTCCCAGCTACTTGGAAGGCTGAGGCAGGAGTCGCTTGAGCCCAGGAGTTGGAGGTTGCTGTGAGCAGTGAAGCCATGGCACTCTACCCAGGGTGACAGCTTGAGGCTCTGTCTCAAAAAAAGAAATCTATCAGAACTTGAATGTCTTCACCTGTAAACTTAGGAAACAGACGCTGGATGGTGGGTCATGAAGATTAACTTCAGTAACACATGTGACACTCTCAAATCCTTTTGGTAGAGCAAAAGTTTCTAACCCTTTCTCTGATTATTTCAATATTATTATTAGTTACACCTGGAATTTATATGATGAGAAGAAACCTGTACTAACCCAAATGAAGTGTCTTTTAGTGTTTCAAAAAGGTTGAGTTGAGGAGTGGTGCCTGTGGTTTAAAGGAGTAGGACACCTGCCCCATATACCAGAGGTGGTGAGTTCAAACCCAGCCCCCTCCAAAAACTGCAAAAAAAAAAAAAAGGGGGGGGTTGAGTTGAGTAGAACCCTCCTATTGTTAGAGTAGGAGGCTGAAGATAGGGTTGAGCACCGAGGCAAGGGCTTGCTGATTGGTGTAGGCATTAAATAATCTTAAACAAAAGGGGCTGATAACTGCAGGCAAGAACCAGCTTAAACCAGCTTGTGAGCTATCTCTGTCACCTTACATGAACTCTGGATAATTATAATATTATTTACATAGTCATTTTAAAATCCATCCACCCTTGAAATCACCGTGACAGTTTCTAGGCAACCATATAAAATATGAAAATGGGAGGTAACTTAATTCTAGGAATTACTACTCAAATTCTTAATAAAAGCCAACCTTTTTGCCTTGAATATTCCTCCCCTCAATTAGGAAACTGCAAAAGACCTAAAAGGACCTCCTCTCAGTGGCTCTCCCAGCAGACAGTAGCTACTGTCTAATGAGCTTGCCAGCTCTCTTTCCTGAGAGTTTCTTTTCGTTTTCAATAAATGCTGTCACTCGGATTGCATTCTGAAACTCTTTTCCCAGTGATCCCCAAGAACCTGGAAACACCTTCACTCAGAGGCTGGTAATACTATTACAGTCAAGAATGGCACATAAGTTCAAGAGTTTTTCTGGACCTTAATCATATGGGGGCAGTGCTATGTTGGAACTGTGGCCTGGGAGACAGAAAAAGACGGACAGCCTTTTAAGAAAGGAGAGTGAGATAAAGAAGGGGTTTCCCAGTTACCGCCTGAGGCTGACTGTACGGACTAAATGGTAGTCCTGTATGACCTTTAATGCAAGATTTTGTTATTACCTTCCAAACTTCTGTTATCAGCTATAAATAAATTGTGTTCTTTTTATCATTAACTTTACCTGTTGTCCTTTCTAATGAAGCAGAACAAATAAGTTTAGGTAAGTAAGAAATATTTATTTTGATTTTTTCCAATCCTTTCTTCTCTTTCCTTTCCATCATGCATGTATGATTATGTCTCAACAGCAAACTCACCGCCTGCAGTGCTCGTGTGGTCTTGCCAGATCATTTGATCCCCTGTCTTTTCTTCTCAATTAATACTTGTTCAGATCAAAAGTCTAGCCCCGACCTTGAGTTCTAATCCCTCTTCTCTCTCTGAAATCTTTTTGATATTCTCAACTTTGAGCCATTTCTTCATTTTGATGAGCATATCATTATATGTAGATTAGCAAGAAGAGCCAAACAGCAAGCCCTGACAAAATAATCCTTATAATATTTTCTCAACAAATTAACAGATAATGAATTTTCTGTTTCCATTGAACCATAGAGATAAATATGGCAAAATGGGCTCAATAAGTCGTTCTTCTCCCCAGAGGAAGGCATGCGACAGAGCCCCAAATAAGGAAGAGGTGTGTGGTTTTAGAGTGAAAAAATAGCTCAGAGAGCAATTTTGCTATGAATGGTGGTTTAAGTCAAGGGAAGAAGAAAGACTCGCTCACAGTGCCACAGTTTCTCAAAGTAAGTGGAAATCCAATCCTGGTGAGTGACGGGCTGTTACTGGGCATGAAGGAAATTTGGTCCTTCGAACCAAAGTCGAAGAAAGTGGAGCTTGTTTGGAAAGATAAAGACGACACTTCAAATTAAATTTTTAAAGTAAAATTTATTGGACAATTATTTGGACTTAAGAAAAATCTGCAGAGTCGAGATTTGTAAACACCTTTAGATCTGCACTCTGGCAAACTGTGCTGTTTGTTTGATCTTCATTGTTGTATTGGCAGAAAGAACAACCCTTTTTCTAATTCAAGCATAATTCTCTTGCATAGTGTTTAATGAGGATTTTTGCATGCATTATTTTAAAAGCTTCCAATATCTGCCCTTTATGAATTCCTTTGGATATTTTTTCTTGTTCTTTTAGAATTTTCTCCTCTGGGTCTCATATTTATTCTGCTTTGCTGTTTGTATTATAATCACTAGTGGAATCTCCCGGTTTTGAAACTCCTGTTGCAAAATAAATAATAATCTGGAATTACATTTCTAAACTGTCTACCTTATATTTTATTTAATATTAGGTAATAAAATATAAGTGATTCAGATCAATGAGTAAAGTACATTAACATAGGAAGATTAAAGTGGGTTTACTTGAAACATTCTTAAAATACAGCATTATGAATATCTATCTAGTACTTTGACTCAATAATCTTTTCTTCTTTTCAGCTCATTGACAGTTAAGAGCCAATTATCCTGAACGCATAGTCAACTCAGTCAGTTTTTTAAAATGAAAATATATGGCAGGATAGAATCACCGAGTGATCTATCTATCGTAAGATCCAAGGATGTATTTTCAGTCTGCAGTACCCTAAGTAATCATTACTGTCATTTCTGTCCAATCCTTTTTCCATCGTTTGGTTAACAAAAAGGAAAACGTCGTACATCCTAGTCTAAGATAGTTCAGGTAAGTGCACCCTTAAGTTTTACGCTGCTTCCACAGAACGCACACAGTAAGCATTTCACATTGCAGTTTTGTTCTCAATGGGGATTGAAATTTACAACTGAGACTTCTGCGACCACTTTCACCATCAGGACCAGGAACGAAGTCACATTCAGAAGATTTCACCATTTGTTCTAGAAATTTTTGTCCATGACTTTAAGGCTATACATAAATCAGCACAAAATATTCATTTTCTTTTCAGGAATTTGCTGGAAATTAGTTTATTCGAACTGTAAAGTTCTAAAGCTGGGCAAATTGCTCAGTGATCATACAACTATTATACAACTCCTTAGAGATTCTTGTCTGTATGTGTTCACCAATCCTAAACTATTACATTATGAAATATGCCCACTCAAACCAGATCCTCTCATTGAAGAAACTGTCTTGACTACTCAAATTCAAATCCACAACTCGATTCATATCATCACATAACCTCTCCTTCTAAGACTCTTTCAAAATGTTGTCTTCTGGTTATTCTGAGGGTCTTCTCCGAAGATGGAAGGAAGTTGACAAAGTTCATCTTCCATGTATGTAAAGTCACCTTATTGTTTTTTTCGTTAGTGTTAATATTGACAATGTCAGAATGCATTTAATTCACATGATAATTTGCTTTTAATGTTTTAAAATTAAATCCACCTTTATATCTCTATCATCTCTCTATATACAGAAAGAGTTTCAAAAAGTGGGGAAAAATCTTGGTGATCTAGTTCTCTGAAGCATTTTAATTCAAACACAATCTTAATTTAAAATAATTTATTTTTGATATATCTAAAATAAAAATTATAGGACATTCCGTATTTTTAAAGGAAACCACATTCAATCCATAAACGGAGCAATTACAAATTAAAACTGTGACCCAGGAATTGTATCTCACACCTGTAATCCCAGCACTCTGGGACACTGAGGCAGGAGA